AATATATGTACCCTATAAAACCTTTTTTAGTTCTTACAATATATGGTTGTACTATTTCTATCTTCATCCTTTCATATACTCTCTTCCAAGCCAAAGGGTGATGAATGTGGAAGGAGAAGGAGCAGGGTCATAAGTGAGATGAGGAGACGAGGGCACTGAAATGTGGAGGTTGCTTATAGCAGTGGTGTCAAACTCAAATAGAAATGAGGAAAATGTGATATTATCTATGTTTTATTGTATTTTTGTTTATTTTGTTAAATATTTCCCAATTTAATTTTAATCTGGTTTGGGCTTCAGTCAGTAGTTCTGTAGGCCACAAGGTCCTAGTTCTGTGTTTGATATCTCTGGCTTGTATTCCAAAAAACAAGTGCTTTTAGTACCTAGTTAGTAAGAATAATTACTTAAAATAGGACGATACCAGATGGAGCTGTGCTCCTCCCTCCCTTGTAGGCCCCATATAGCTTGAGTTTTACATACACACACACACACACACACACACACACACACACACACACACACACACACACACACCAGGATTGAGCAAGTGTGGCCCCTTTAAGTACTATTCTTCCTTCCCTTTCTGCCCAAGAGGCTACATGAGCTTCTGCCTTGTCCTTCTACCACCCTATATCCCTCCCACCATGGAGCAGTCAGTGTCTCCATGGCCTCTTCCTATCACAATGTCTTTGTTCAAGAGCTAGAGATCATTGTCTGAGATCTCTCTCTCATCTTTATGCCCAATGAATTTATCTTTAAAAAGTATATTTGGGAACATCTTTCATGCTACCTGATGCCAAAAGGTTTTGGGATGAGTAATGTTAGCCCCAAATGTATTGGAGGTGCTGCCACCACCCAGGGCTCTGCCTCTGTAAAGAGTTTTTAGTGTATCCAGAGTTCTATTTCTAACCCTAACCCAGTGGCTACAAACAGAAGAGAGTGGGAAATGGTTGTTGGGTGTCTCTACCCACCTCTCTCTAAACCTCAGGTTCCTCTATAGATTGAGGGAGCTAGGCCACATGATGTATAAGGATACTTCCAAGTCAATTATTGGTTTCCTAAGCCAAGTCAATACAGACTACACCATCCATTAGTAGCAATTTTCAAATATTTTTGTCCAAGGTCTTATCTGGGTCTTAATGTCCCTAACTATGATGTGAAACTGTTAACCTAGAAGATGCTCTTTAAGGTCCCCTTCATCTCTGACATTCTGAAGGTCTATGATTCCAGATATATTTTCTGCCATGTCCTCACTCAGAAATGAAAGCTGGGGGTTGAGAGATTTATTCATTAGGATAGCGAGAAACTGAGGCACACAGAGACATTCAGTACCTTGGACCTGTGGGTCATAATTTTAGAACTGTTAGGGACCTTAAAGATCAATAGTCCAACCCTCTCATTTTATAGATGCAGAAAATGAGGGCTAGAGGGGCAGCTATGTGGTGTAGTGGATACAGCTCCGGCCGGGAGTCAGGAGGACCTGAGTTCATATCCAACCTCAGACACTTGACATTTACTAGCTGTGTGGCCCTTGGCAAGTCACTTAACCCCAATTGCCTCACACAAAAAAAGAAAGAAAAAAGAAAATGAGGGCCAGAGAAGTAAAGTGACTTATCCAAAGTAACACAGGTAATATTTTGCAGAATGCTGTTCTACTATACCCCATTATGACTTGGTTTGAAATCTTGTGGCTTTCTTGGATAGTTAAGCCTCAAGATTCAAAGGTCAATCAAGACTAGATGGGGGAGGAGTCCACAGGTACAAATATTGCATATATTATCAGGTTTTTTCAATGTGTTACTTTGTTTTGCTGATTTTTTCTCTTTTTTTTTCTTAAAGGAATCTTTGCTATATTGGATAGCTCTCTAGAACAGAATAGGGGATAGAGAGGGAAATGTATCCATTTTGCTACTTAGATGCCTCAATATATACATCTTCCCAAACTATCCCACCCTACCACTCCCCTTCCCAACAGTAGCCTCCTCAGCATCAGCCTCATAACGTCCTGAGATGTCTATTTGTTGTTAAGTTGTTTTTCAGTCATGTCCGACTCTTTATGACCCCATTTGGAGTTTTTTTTGCAAAGATATTGGAGTAGTTTACCATTTCCTGGCTCATTTTACAGATGAGGAAACTGAGGTAAACAGTGTTTGCCCAGGGTCACACAGCTAGTAAGTATTTGAAGCCAGATTTGAACTCAGGAAGAGGAGCCTTCCTGACTTCAGGCCACTTTGATACCTAGCTGCCCATAACACTCTATCCGCTGCACCACCTACTCCCCATTAGACTATAACCTCCTTGAGAGTAGGGATTTTTTTTTGGCCATTCTTTGTGCTTAATATTTATTAAGTGACTATTAACTTGAGTTGACCCTCCATGCCTCGCGTCACCTCACCCCCCCCCCCAAATTTATTTAAGAACAGGTTTCATGCTGTTTCTTTAGTACTTCTTCTTGGTACAAAAATTAGCAATAATACCTCTGACCATGATTGGTGCATCCAAATAGTAGCAGTACCATTTCTGGTTCCAAGTGATACAGGGGGATGATAAGGTAAAAATCTGGAGGAAGAAGGGCAAGATATAGGGCTATTGAGGTTCCCATCCCTGTACCTTCTCTTGGAGGCTGCACCCAAAGCTATTCCTCAGACTGTCACTCCTCTCAGCCTCCTGGATGCCAAGTGGGGTCCCAGTAGCATTCATTTGAATAGTCAGAGATTTGATTGATTGGAATCCTCAATCAAATCATAAAAGCAAAGAATAAAGGAGCTGAAAGGAACCACAAGAGAAAACTTAGGCTATCCCTTGGCCTTTCATCTTGGGAAGGTCTAAATTATGGCAGACAATCAATTGTTTATTCTCTTTTTAAAAAGTCAATTCGGGTCTCCAGGATTTCCTTGTGAAATGAAAGGATTGGACCCAATGGTCCCTTAAGTACTTTCTAACTCTGATATTCTAAAAGCTTCCTTGAAAAAAAAAAGCTTCCTTGATGAGGAAGACATTCACAGAATTCCTTGGTAGCCTACCACCATGTTGAATCTCTCTGATAGTTCTATGTATGGTATTACAACTGTAACATATTTTTCTTCAGCCTGAATTTGGCCCCAGTATAGTAAACCAAGGGCATGTGTTCAAATTCCAGGAACTACAATGAGCCCCAGCCCAGTATTGACAGGTCTAGTGAAGACCCTGAAGAAAGTGGCTGTGTTTTCCTTGAGACCTGAAGCAGGGCCCTGTGCACAGGGCTAATACAGCTAGATTAGAGATAGGTTCAGTCTTGTTTGAAGATAGTTTGGTACAGTGGAACTGCAAGTTAAGGATGCAAGTTCAAACCCCAGCTCTGCCACTTACTACCTCTGTGACTTTCAGCAAATTACTTTACCCCCTCTGGCCTCCATTTCTTCATTTGTAAAATGAAGGGTTTGAGCCAGATGCCTTCTGAGTGTCCTTCCAGATCTGACATTCTGTAATACCATGATCCTCATAAGGACATTACAGAAGGAATACCTCTGTTCCTTGGTCATCAGAATCTCCCCATGCTGTGGAAGCAAGAGCATTGAGTTGGAAGACTTGGGTTCTGCTGCCAACTTAGTTGTTGTCTAGCTCCCTGACTGTGGACAAATCATTTCACCTCTTAGAGCTTCAGTTTTCTTATTTGTAAAATGAAAGTTGTACTAGTTGCATTCTGAAGTCCATCCTTGCTCTGATGATCTGTGTTTGTGGTTTTCACTATATCCATAAGCCCAGTTTTCTGGCCTCCAGGCCAGGCATTCTATCCACTTCGCCACCTAATCTGGTAAATGTGTTGAGTGGTTCATGTCATTCTATCCTCATCACTGGAAGATACACTGGGTTAGTGATATGATGTTTGTAGACGAAGGAAAGCAGAATGGGCTAAGGCCCTCTGTGCATGATAGCTCAGTATTAACTGAGTGTCCATAATGTTAGGAGCTATAATCAACAGATATTAACTGCTCTCTGCCAAGGCCAATCCTATATATAGGCATACTAGACCTAGCCTTCTTGATGGGATTTCATCGGGTCTGAAAAACTCATCCCCAAACAGTCTTTCCCTTCAGGCCAAGGTGCCTAAAATTCTCTCCATTGTGGGGAAAACAAGGTCATTACTGCCCCCCTCCTCACACATACTTGAGTTAAGACATTGTTCTCCAAAGATACCTGAAGAAAAGGGTAGGCAGGGTGATTTATTGGATAGGACACTGGACTTGGAGTCATGAGGACCTAGATTCAAATCCCACCTCAAGTGATTACTAGTTATAGGACACTAGGTAAATCACTTAACTACTGTGTGCCTCATTTCCCTATCTGAAAAAGGGGAGGGAAGTTGGGTTTGATGACCTCTAAGTTCCCTCCCAGCCTTAAATCTGTGATCATATGACCCTGCGGTATGTTGGTGCCTGTTATCTATCATGTTATTTATCTATCAGTGTTTCTTCTGGGTCTCTCCAGTTCAGTTCCATTTCTCTTCCCAGCCTACTTTGCAACCTACCCACCTGAAACAGAGCAAGGCAGCTGTGGAACGCATGTTATTTTGATTTAAGATTAACATTATCTAGCTGACCTGAAAGCCCATGAGAAACTCAGCAGGTCAGCGGCAGCTAGGTGGTGCAGTGAATAGAGCACCTGCCCTGAAGTCAGGAGGACCTGAGGTCAAATCCGGCCTCAGACACATAATACTTCCTAGCTGTGTGACTCTGGGCAAGTCACTTAACCCCCATTGCCTCACTAAAAAACAAACAAACAAACAAAAAACCATGGCAGGTACATTCTGATGGAGGAGGAAAGCAGGAGTTAAGGGCTGAGCACAGAGCAATATCCAGGGAAGGCAGGCCTGAAGTGGGACTGATTCATATTTAATATTTCCTAAGCAATCATGAAATTCTTATGACAATACTAGATGACTGGGGAAAGGTGAGGATCAAGATGGGGATATAAAGGCAGATAGAAACAAACTTAGTCTATCTCATCATGGCTTTTGCCTTCAGATACCTCAGCTACTGCCCTCTGGGACTTGACCATCTGAGATCATGTTTACCAGATCCTTGGATGCTGACCTAAAAATGTGAGCTCCCATTAGAAGGGATGGTAGGTATTACATTTAATTAAGGTTGTATGGTGACTAAGACTATGTAGCACAAGAAAGAAAGAGAGAAAGAGAGAAAGAAAGAAAGAGAGGAAGGGAGGAAGGGAGGGAGGGAGGGAGGAAGGGAAGGAGGGAAGAAAGGAGGAAGGAAAGGAAGAAAGGAAGGAGGGAGGGAAGGAAGAAAGGAAGGGAGAGAAGGAAGGAAGTTCGGGTACTGTATCAAAAAGGAAGATATTATAGCAATGCAGAAGTACATTCCTCAAGAAATGTTTCCTTCCTCCTACTTTGTCTTCCCTTGGGGGAAGAGTGCTGTGGTTTTGGAAGAACAGTTGCAAGGTCTCCAAAGGTAGCCAACAGGAAGACATCACTACACCTGGGGTCTCTCAGTGTTTCTTCTGGGTTCCTCCAGTTCAGTTCCATTTCTCTTCCCAGCCTACTTTGCAACCTACCCACCTGAAACAGAGCAAGGCAGCTGTGGAACGCAGCCTGATCAAGTGGGGGTCTCTGCCCACTCCTTGACCTCAGAAATAGAATCCACCTGAAGGGAAAGTTAGGGGGAATAAAGGGTGGTTCCCTGATCCCAGAATCAGAGGCATTGTGGTGCCTCTAAAAAGGGAAGAGGGACTGATAGGGAGGTGGGGGTGGGGAAGGGGGTAATATTTTTCACACCTTTGATCCTGGGATCATCCTGTTCAGCTGAGTGGAATACCAAACAAGGGTGTCTCAGAGCTCACACTTCACCTCAGCCACGCAATCGACAGGAGAAGCAGCCAGCGAGACCGACAGACTGTCACTGGCAAAATGAACTGTCACCTCCCATTTTTCAGAGGCACGGCGGGATGAATTGCAGCCTTGAACCGTGTGGCCCACTGCTGATTGAGTTCCGCTGTCTTAGAACCCCAGCGAACAAGGCGAGTTCATTTCAGACTGACGTCCCACCGCTTATCAATTTAAGAGCCAGTAAAATTAACCGCTTCGGAGCTGATTCTCTTCCCCAATCCCCCTTCCCCATCACTTTCCCCTTCTCCTCCTGGGATGCTGCATCTGGAAAGGTCACCAAATAGATCTCTCTGGGCCTTACTTATATAATGTGAGGTTCAGAGAGAAGTCCTGAGGAAAAGGAGCTGACCCAAACTGTTGTGAGCATGAAAAAAATACCTGCTGGGCCTTAATCCAATTCAACAAGTTAAGCACCTGCTAGTAGCCAAATGTTCTGTCAGGTGCTAGGGATACAAAGACAAAACTGTAAACAGTCTCTGCCCGCAAGGAACTTACCTTCTACTGGGAGAAAGATGCACACAGAGAAGTAAATAGGAAGTAAATAGGAATATATTGTAAGTCAACAAAGTAATTTTGTTGGGGGGAATGCCCTGACGATTTGAGGGGTCAGGGATGGCCTTATGGGAGAATTAGCACTCAAGCCAAGCCTTGGATAGAGCCCCTCATCTGTATCAGGGGAGGTGCAAGCTGCATCCTGGTTTTATTTCTAATTCACTCAGCAACTTCTGCTCCAAGGAAAGTAGGGATGAGAGGGGGTATGGCAGAGGGTAGAACTGCTTCAGATGCTCCCCACCGGTGTACTTGCGCATCTGAGGGAGGGTCCTGAGCTCAGTGGACACACTGAAGAACCTCAGAGGCAGCTGGTATTGCCATGGATAGAACGCTGGGCCTGGAGTCAGGAAGACCTGAGCTCCGATCTGGCCTCAGACACTTACTAGCTGTATCGCTGAACGGTGTTTGCCTCTATTTCCTCAACTGTAATACCTTGCAGGATTGTTGTGAGGATCAAATGAAATGATATTTGTAACAATAAAAAAAGCATTTTGCACAGTGTCAGGGACATAATAGGCCTCCTATAAATGTTGATTTCCTGATTTCACATTGAAGAGTCAGGGAGGAAGGTGAGGTACAAGCCAGAAAACAGGAGTGGGATGGCTAATGCTAACATGGTAACTTCATCACCCGTTGATTGGGCCCCCAGGCTGGGCCTGGTGCTGTTCCAAAAGAGACAAACTTTACAAAAGCACCACCTGGAGTCTTGAGGAATTCTGTAGTTTTGCCATCTTTTGGGAGCAGAGGAAGAAAATATTCACTGCTTCATCTTCTAAATATAAAGAGAAATGTCAAAATACCACCAACATTCCGGCTTACCAAGCCCTATCCATGATGTCCTCAGAAACCCAAAGAATCATAAGAGGTTAGAACTGTGAGAGACCTCAAAGGTGATCTAGAACATAGGTTCTTAACCTTGGGAGAGGGAGGATCCATGAACTTAGCTTTTTAAAAATATATTTAGGGGCAGCTAGGTGGTGCAGTGGATAGAGTACCAGCCCTGGTGTCAGGAAGACCCGAGTTCAAATGTGACCTCAGACATTATTTTATTTCAATATCATTGGTTTCCTTTGTAATCTTGTGTGCATTTGACTTTATGCATTTAAAAGACATTATTCTGGAAAGAGGTCCTTAGGTTTCCCCACACTAATAGTGGGGCCCATGACACAAAAAAAAGGTTAAGAACCCTTGATCTAGTCCAACCCTCTCATTTTACAAATGAGGAAACTGAGGCCCAGAGGTTGTGACTTGCCCAAAGCTCTTCCTAGGATCATAGGTCTTAGAACTGAAAGGGACCTTAAAGATAATTTAATCCAGACCCCCTCATTTCACATTTTACTGAGGTCCAGAGATGTTAAGTGTCTTACTCACAGTCACACGGATGGTATGGGATAAATGTTTGGGGGATTATGGAAGTAAGTAGTATACCTGTGATGCCAGCCCACACTGGACTCTGGCTGTGGCTCTGACATTCTTTCCAATACATCATGTTACTTCCTGAGAATTTTGCCATCTCTTATATTGGGGGCACACCTTGATGCCCCCTTCCTTTTCAAAGGAGAGTGATATTTTGTTTCGGCTAATACAATTGAGCTGTTTTGTCAGAAACTCTCCACCACTGCCAGGAAGCCCCACAGAGGCAGTTGTGATTGCAGAAAGGGACTGTCCCCTCCCTACCAGCAGCATTGGTTCCAATGGAAAGCAGCTCAGAAAAGGTTCCGGAGCACTGCCCCAACCCAGGAAGCCTCTGTTATCTCTCTGAGTATTGTTTGTATGGGTAATGCTTGTGTCCTGACTAATGTCCACTGACAGGTCAAATAGCTCAAACTATTAGAAGATTAGAATGTATTAATACCGCTCTAACCCTAACGGTGGGGGTGCTCTTTAGGGGTTCTTAACACATCAAAATTGTGTGGGCTCACCGGTTGCCTTTTTTTTAAGTAAAAAATAACTTAACAATTAGTCTCAATATAAAAAGGATAACAATTAGAAGGCATTGCCCAATAAGAGACAAATGTTGACACCACATACTGCAATAAGCTCAAAATGGATACATGATCTGAATTTGTAATTCACACCATAAAAAATTATATGAGACTCAGATTGGATACTTTTCATTGCAACAATTAGTTCTTAACCAAACAAGAGATGGAGATCACAAAACATGATAGATAATTTCAATTAAATTAATTTAAAAAGCTTTTTCAAGAGGCAGCTAGCTGGTGCAGTGAATAGAGCTCTGGCCTTGAATCAGGAGGACCTGAGTTCAAATCTAGCCTCAGACACTTAATGCTTACTAGTTGTGTGACCCCTGGGCAAGTCACTTAACCCGATCTCCTAAGCAAAAAAAAAAAAAAAAAAGCTTTTTCAAGAACAAAACAAGTGGAAGTAGGATAAGGAAGGAGAATCTTGATTAAGGTAAAAAGCTTTAGATCAAATATCTGGGATGAGGATGTGATATTCAACGTATACAGGGAATTAGCACAAACTGGTATAGTATATAGAGTGCCAGCCCTGGGGTCAGTAAGACTCATTTTCCTAACTTCAAATCTGGCCCCAGACACTTACTAGCTGTGTGGCCCTAGGTAAGTCATTTAACCCTGTTTGCCTCAATTTCCTCATCTGTAAAATGAACTGGAGAAAGAAATGGCAAACCACTCCAGTACCTCTGGCAAGAAAACCCCAAATGGGATCACAAAGAGTTGGACGTGACTGAAAAACTACTGAAAAACAACAACATGGGGAAATACACAAACTAGAGTAGCATTAAGTAAGGTAAACCAGGGAAAGAATATACACAATCAATATAGCAACATAAGTGGAAAATCAAAACACCTAAACTGAATACTGTGTAATTATTAATGTCTAGCTTGGTTCAAGATACTTCCCTTCCCTCATTGCCAGGGTGGAGGACTGTGGGAGCAGAATATTGCATGAACTGTTAGGCGTGGTCAATGTGTTGGTGGGTTTTGCTGAACTATTTTTCTTTCTTTTAAAGTCTTTGCTATGGTTCACAATGAATGGGGGTAAGGAAGGATATAGTCTGAAATGAAGGTGATATAAAAGCAAAAGATAACAATAAAAATAAGATTTTAAAAAAGAAAAGAAAAGCTAATTGTTGAAAGCAAAAATGAAATCTGTTCAGGAGCATTAGTTAAGAACACTTGAATAGACGTGTTTTGAGAAAGGAAAAAGCAGAATTAGAAGAACAATGGGCAACTGAATAATTTCAAAGGGGATAGGAAGGTATATGTTACCTCTGATTCTACGTTGTAATAATTCCATACACTGTCCCACCCCTTCCACTGGGTCTCTTCTTGTCCAAATTCAAAAGAAGTTCTCCTTAGCTCCCTTATCCAAGGTCAGCCTTGGTAAACATTTTCAAATCCCCTAGATTCAGAGACAGACTCATAGAATATGAGATCCAGGCCTCAACCTACTTTCCTAGCCATCTCCACGATGTTCTGCACTGTGCTACTCCACAATGTCCATCATCCCCACCTCCTCTGCACCAGAACCTTGGACTCCACCCCAGAGACCATCCTGGGCTCTGATAGGTGAACTTTCCCCTTATCTTGCCTGGATCTAGGCCTCTACCTCACATCCTACCAATTTCATCCTACCTCCAATACATGCATCTCCTCTCACTCTCTTCTGAACTCTG